TTACATTGAGCTGAGTTGGTGGCGGTGGCGTAAAGACGAGCGAGAGGATGGTCGGTTGTCAAATTATGTTATCGCTATATTATGCTTCCGCCTGTTTATGATTTGCTGAACTGATATTTGACTTGATTTATTTTTCCCGCTTGGATTTGGATATTTTATTATGTGCTTATATCCCTGCTTTGATTTTGTATACTGATTATGTTTTATGCATGAACTTGTTACTTAATTATTTGCTTTCATACTTTGGATTATTTATTTATTTGCCTTCGAACTATGTTTGAGATACGTTTGAACCTTGAATTCATGCTAGACGATTGGGAAAGATTTTAAAATTTATGATTATTGGGATTGTTATTTTGATAGCTCGAGCATGTGTAGGTTCATTGAAATGATTGATTGGATGTGTTTGTTTGCTGTTGTTAGTGAGTAGCGTCCGTTTCTCGATAAATGGTTTAACTTGGATTTAAAAAAAAAATTACTCTGATTTAAAAAAAAATACTCTGATTTTTATTAAATAAATTCGGTAAATTCTTTAATATAAAACGGGGCGTTACAGTTTGGTATCAGAGCCAGTCTTGCTTTTCTGTAGACTGGTTCATATGTGATTAAGTGTGTAAGGACCATTTGACCACTCGCTTTCGTCTCGCTGCGCCAGCTCAAGGTATGAGTTTCTTTGTTTTGATTATTGTAAATAACGTGATTATGGTTTGTTCTTTTATTGGGGCCTAGGAATTTACCCTCTGTTCATACGGACTTGAATTCTAGTGGTATAGAGTTAAGTTCCAACTTTAGAATTGTTTGTTGTGAGTTTTCGGGTTAGTGTTATCGAGTTAAGTTTGGTCCATAGCAGTGCACTCGTTATGAGTTTCTGTTTAGTACCATCGAGTGAGAATCATTCGTAAGCTATCTCGAAAGAGAAGGCTTAAGTAAAGGGAACAGACAAACGAAGAAGTCCCGGATGTGTGGATTATTCAGAAGTCTGTGACTATTGTGGCTAGAACTATTAGACGCGTGTAGAACCTGATCAATGGGAACCGAGAGTGGAGTCTAAGTGTCGGTTTCATGTCAATGATCCGACCACTTATGTGAGTAGATTCGTGGGAATCGGGTTAATGGCTGATTTTCCCCTTATTATAATTTGTTCGTTTATCCGTGTATTTCTCGTTAGTTTGTCTCGCGTAATTCTTCGTGGGTATTAGAACTCTGTTGAGAGTTATTGATACCCACTTCTTTTGTTATTTTTGGCTGAGTTGTTATCGAATAAAATCGAGCCCTTGACTTGTCATCCGAACCTTCATTCCGTGATTGTAGTACTTTTAAGAGTTGGGTTTGGAAAACCTCTTTTTGAAAACCTTTCATTGATGACTATTTGGTCGCTGACTTGACCCCTTAAACTCGGTTGATAGGCTTTGAACTCTTCTGATGAGTTAAAGTTCTATCTCTTATGTTTCATCTTGAGCAGGAACCAAGTCTTTATCAATTTCGTGTTGGATGATGTGGCCAAAGTTTTGCGAGTGCGCGCCCAGTTTTCCTAATTTTTCGGTTTTGTGGGTGATCTGTTTCCATGGCTGTTTTTAAACCCTAAAACCTCATCGTTTCTTTTTTGAAGTCTTCTTGTAAATTTTAGATCAGCTTGTCGCCTTTCATAAGGAACAGGAATCGCGTGTTTGTCATTTTCATTTATTTATCGATAATTGCGCCGGAAATCCGATTGTTGCATAGTCAGTTTTTTTTTTAAATCGCAACAGTTGGAGTCTTTTATTTTCGTTATTTTTGGCATGCTTCTGGTAATCTGGGAATCTCGATGTCTTCATGCAAATTGTAGTTTTGTCTCTTAGGATTCAAACGGCGCAAGATTCATTCCGGGGATGCGTTCAAGATACGAACTTCGTGCAATCAGATTTCTGAAAATTTGCAGCAAATATTAACGTGCGAGTTTGATCCGTTTTCAACCCTTTAACCTACCGTTCACGCCTTTGCTACTGAAGTGCTATTCCTTTGTCCTTGATTACTACCTTTCGCTTAGTAGCCAAGTTTGAATTGTATTTCGTGACCCATTCTTATTATTTGATTTTCGTTCCGTGATAAATTTGCTTGAATTTCTTTTCCTTGCGGAGAATTTTGGGATGGAGTTGAGCATCGAATTTCAGTTTCTATTGATCCTTATCTGATATTGAATCGTGTGCAGTAACTTCGCTAAGTCAATGCAAGGGTCAACCTGAGAATACCTTAGCTTCGAGATAGACGACGATAAATTTTTCTTTCGTGTTCTATTTTAACTTTGAACCGAAGTGGCGTACGTGAGAATCGTCGCATACCTGATCGGGAGGAGCTTCGACACATTTTTAGGGATGTTTTGTGATAGGAAACCTCTTAAGGAGGGTAGTCGAGCCAGATGTAAACACATCGTGCGGTGCAGAGCCGTCTTCGTTTTTGAATTGTGTTCGTCGTAATTCTTTGAAAACTCTCGTTCTTTTCCCCTTCGGAGTTTCAAGAGTGATCCTTTGTATTTCTTTGACTTTTTGCAATCCTTTGAAAACTCTTGTTTTTGATTCGTTGGAGTTTCCACTTCAAGACTTACAACCTGATATATTGATTAAGACGAGCAGTTTTTGTTTTTCCGCTTGTTTGAAATTGTTCCTTCGATTTTATTTGGTGATGTTTTTCGGTCTGGTACTCCATTCATACCCGGATCGGTCTGCCGTGTTATATTTTATTTTAATTATCGTTGATGACCTATATTCGAGACGCGATCGAGACGAATCAACCAGAGAGGCTTCGTGATGAGATCCAGAAGCGTGAGAATCTTAGCAGAGTAGAAATTGAGCTCGTGTAGGACTATCGGCACGATTAGCTACCAGAGATAGAGCTGACTTGACGGCCGACACCGTTAGTCGGAAGAGTCATGCGAGCTGATCATCTTCATTATTCGGCAATGACAGCTGAGTTGGAATGATTCCTAGCTGAGGGTGTCGATACTCGTCTTCCTTAGGAGATTCCTCCATAACTCTTATATATGTTATCCGCTTGAAGTTGTATGGCTCGGGGAAGGATGTGATGATTTGGAAGCCCTGAACCATCCGAGTTTGTCGATACCTTAATGCTGGGGGATAATGTCCTTGTTGAACCCTAATTTTTCTTGGTTTTGTGAAAACCTTTTTCCCTTCGGGTTACCTCAGATAGTGCGAACCTTGAATTAGAGTAGTTCTTTTCTGTACCTCGAATCGAACGCCGACACTGACTGGGTGTAGTCACGCGAAGTGGTGGTCGAGCATGCGAGTCCGTGCTGAGAGACGTGAGGCACTGCAGGGCCGATCGTTGACTCGCACGAGAGGTGCAACAACCATCACCGAACGCAGGAGCTCCCCAAGCCAGTGTGTGGCTAAAACCTTGACCTTGCAGCTGTTCTCCGAACAGATGTACGCACACGTCCCAGCGCCCCGCTTATGCAGCGCCCGTGTGTATGACATCTCTCGGGTAACAGTGCATTAAACCCCGAACTGGCTATGTCCTTTTAGATCGTTAATGGGATCGTCGAGCATCCCTATTTGAGAGTCAGTTTCTGCCATAGAAGTTGTTTTCGAATGTCTAGCCGATACTTCCTAAACCGCATACGAGTTGTTACTCGTGTCGGCAAGGAATGAGGCTTTGTCAACGATATCGAGCAGAACCGTGTGTTCTGAAGGTATCAGTTTTGAGGATGGTGTTTTTGATGTAGGTTAGCCATTTGTATGAGATCCCGTGGCAGCCCGTTTGATACGGACGCACGGATCACATTGGGATCGTGGGCAAGTTGTCAACTTGACCCGGGCACGAGACTGAACTTGGCACCGCGTAGAAATCCAGATAGTTATGCGTCTAGGACATGCTGTCGAGACCCTGAGAGACTGGTTTTGAGTCTGGTGTACTCGATGGGTGTGTCGTGTGGAATTTCTTACCATAAGAAAGTGCGCTTATAGCAATGGGTATGAGTGACGATCTCGATGGTACCGTATGAGGTTCTGAGTACGGAAAGAGGTGTTGTACACCTCGGATTCTGTGAAGAGAGGAAGTATCAGCCACACTATATATGTTGGTCCTTTTGGTGATTCTCGACCGAGTCGGCGTCTTAGCCTGACGGTTGACCCCATCACCGGAGCTTGCAAGAGTGCACGACCTGTTCAGTGCCTCGTGAAGAGGAAACAGGTGCGCGACTCTAGGCACGAGGCGATCTTTGACGAGCTGCATGTAGGCAGAACCTTACCCTTGATGAGGTACCGGTGACCTACTGGATTGATGAATCCAGCAGGGAGAGTCCGGAAGAGGTACTCGTCAAAGTCCGGCGGGGTAACCAAGGCTAGTTCGGTGTGACTTGGTAGAGTGGGAAGATTCGGACGGAGTATCCGAGCTGAGTGGTTTGAGCTTCTCTCGTGTGTCATTGTCCTGTTAGGATGATTTTTTCTTTGATTTCTGGAGAGGAAAATCGTTTAAGGAGGGTAGACTGTAATGCCCCGTTTATTTGTGGATTAATTGGGAATTTTTATTTTTATTATATTGTCTATTATTATTATTATTGTGTAATTATAAATATTATTGCTTGCCAAATAGAATGTCTAAATATTATATGTCTAATTGTAATTAACTGCCTAAATGTGTATTTGTGATATTATTATTATTATTAGTATTATAATTATTATTATTGAGTGTCCAGATATTGCTAATTGTCTAATTGAAATTTTATATCTAATCGTATATTTTGATAATTGATATTATTATTTTAAAATAATGTGTGTATTAAACAAACGTTATATCCGGTTTTATTTTATTTAATTAATTGTGCGATTTAATCGAGCCCATAAATACTCACGTGAACCAAAACCGAGCCCGTGAGCCGATTTATTGTCGAACCGGCCAAACAGACTGACCCATGTGAATTTGTCTTGGGAGTCAAGACTAATGACCTAATCATTGCACACATATATATACATTGTTTGTATCTATTTCTCTCGTCCAAACTCTCTTCAGCCGCAACCTTTTTCTTGTTCTCTAGCAAATCTGAAATCCCTCATCATCGTCCTTCGATCTCTCGTCGGCAGAGAAGAGAAAATCTTCTCGTTTCTCTTTTTCGTCAGATAAATCCGATCACCCCTCACCCCTTTACGATCGACGCCAGCTACCATCTCCGACCATCCCCAACGCCTCTTTGCGAATTTCTGTTCAGAACAGATCGCCGCCACCCTCCTCCTCCATCGCCACCGCGAACCAGCATCTCGTGAACTTTTTCCCGGCGAACTCCTCACCTCTGCGAGTAGCACAACCCCGACTTCCGGCGACCGTCTACTGCACCTCCTTGAGCCCTCGTCGCGAATTTCCAACAGGCCCTCGACGCCCATTCCTCCGCTCGCAAGCCGTCGCGGCCTCCCTCTCCGGCGACCCACACGCAGCGCCTCTGACGACCCTGCTGCTCCACCTTCGCGAAGCTCCACCACGGGCAGGAACCCGTGAGCAACCCGCCGTCGCTGTTGGACCACGCAAAGACCCGGTGACCATCGCCCCTGCTGCAACTCGCCGTCGCTGCAACTTCCGGCGGCCACCATCGTCGCCTGCTCGTGAGTTCATCCTCCGCGCGAGTCGCTGCAGCGACCTCTGCCTGCACCTGCTCCGCTGTGAATCCCGACGCCGAGCTCTTTCCCCGGCGATCTGCTGCTCCTCCTTGCAGTCCCCGTCTCTGCCGCTGACAGCCGCTGCTACTTTCCGGGAGTTCACCGACGAGCCGAGCGCAACCGTCGAGCCCGTTCGAACCCTTCTCGCCCGATTCCCGAGAGCGGTATCGAGTCTCGACTCTTCGTCTATTTATTTAGCGGTTATATGTCATGTTGTTCGCGATTTATGTGTTTAGGTGATGTTAACGTGCTTTATGAAATTGAGAAGCGATGTGATTTTATGTGATATTATTGTTCGTTATATTATATCGTCGTGATTTTTATGTTAAACTCGTCGATTCGTACGAATCGAGCGAGAACTGAATATAAGTGATGAGTTGCTGTGGATTTAGGAACTTAAGACTATTTCGAACACAATGGCGCTGACCTTGTGTCGATCGGACGTGTATATGTGTAGTTACGATTTTTCAAAGATTTAAATGGCTGTGCTGAATGTAAAATTCATTATAAACGGAATACTAGTCCGATTGCCTTGAAAATTTAGGGGCAGCTATTTTTGATGAATATGTAGCTGGTGTAAAATTTTCGTAATTTTTAAAGGTCTTTAGCTATTGTTAAAAATTAATTTGATTTCTGTTCAGTTTCTTGTAAAATGCATAATTAATTTTGTGGTGCTCCATTCTAGCCAATTTTCGAGTATGTTATGTCGTATGATTGTATGTTGTGTTAAAGTTTTAGAATTTTTGGACTAGGTTTGATAGGGTTAATAACTTATTTTGTGTTTCAGCAAGAATTTTTTTTAATTATAATAAATTTGTCTGAAGCTGAAAAATTCTGAATTTTGGTTGAGATGCTGATTATGTGATGTTTAGCATGCTGAAAATTTTTTGAAATTTTTGGAGTTCAGTTAGGTTCAGTTCTGATAGAAATTCGATAATTGGCTGAATGTTGTTTTAATTTTATAAATTCACTTGCTGAGTATTAAAGGAAAGTATTTTTATGTGTTGCTGATCATATGCTGTAGTATTTTAGATAAAAATTTCATGGCCTGAGTCGTTCATTATCATGTGTTTCTAATTTAAGTTCGTTTTTGTTGAAAAACTTGTGTGAATTTTATAAAATTGGGTTTAATGAGTTTGAGGCTGAAACTGGGTGTTTTTACTAAATTTTGGGAGGTGAATTTTATGTAAAATTTTCAGAGCCTAACTCGTAGGTTTGATATACCTTCTAATTCAAGTGTAATTTTGGAAATTGTTTTATATGGTGATGTTCGGTTAAGTGTTGTTGACCGAATTTGCTATGTGTCTACATGTGACTCGTTGTTTGTCTTTCACTTGTGATTATGTGAACTTGAATATGTGGTTCGATCGAGTCTAAGTCCTAGTGTTCCCATATCCATAGAACTTCACGAACTACTTGGTCGACTCGAGTTCGGCTAAGTCAATTTGTGAATTTACTACTTAGGTCTAGATTAAAGTGTTGACTTTAGTATCTGGACTAAATGTAGGTTTCTATAGGTGTTGACCTCTCCCTGCTTGTGAGATTCGTGTTTGTGATCTGTTGCTGCAACCAGGTGGGTACATTTGTGATGTATTCCATAATTATTGCACTTACTATTTCGTATAATGTTTCTTTTGAAAAATTTTTGTACGCATGAGAACTCTAGTCTAAGTGTCCCAAACGATAGTGCTTTTGACGAATGCGGAAGCAGTGGAAGTCGCCTGCCCGTTGCATCTGGGAGGCGGACGCCCGAATCTGTGTGAGCGGAGGGGATTGTCTGAATACTCGAATCCGTGTAGAGCGGTGGGGTGATTCAACTTCACTGTCTCCTGGAAAGGATCCCATGTACCGTTGTATCCGGGGGTGGACAGGTTTCCAGTTACAGCCATGCCGTTGTATCCAGAAGGTTGTTGTATGTATATAGGAGGTTTGCGATAGGGCCGGGTAGGGGGTTTAGGCTATGAATTCTATGCATACCGGTATTGATATTGTACACTGCGACTACTTGTTTGTAAAATTATTATGCGCGATAATGGTGAGCTAGTTGGTTGCTCACCCCCATTGTTTTCTGTTGTTGTCTCCTCTTCCTTTCTTTTCGTTGAGCTGAGTTGGTGGCGGTGGCGTAAAGACGAGCGAGAGGATGGTCGTTGGTCAAATTATGTTATCGCTATATTATGCTTCCGCCTGTTTATGATTTGCTGAACTGATACTTGACTTGATTTATTTTTCCCGCTTGGATTTGGATATTTTATTATGTGCTTATATCCCTGCTTTGATTTTGTATACTGATTATGTGTTATGCATGAACTTGTTACTTAATTATTTGCTTTCATACTTTGGATTATTTATTTATTTGCCTTCGAACTATGTTTGAGATACGTTTGAACCTTGAATTCATGCTAGACATTTGGGAATGATTTTAAAATTTATGATTAATGGGATTGTTATTTTGATAGCTCGAGCATGTGTAGGTTCATTGAAATGATTGATTGGATGTGTTTGTTTGCTGTTGTTAGTGAGTAGCTCCCATTGCTCGATAAATGTTTTAACTTGGATTTAAAAAATAAAAAAAAATACTCTGATTTTTATTAAATAAATTCGGTAAATTCTTTAAAATAAAACGGGGCGTTACAATGGCATTTTTTTGTGCTTTTCCTTTTTGGTTTGAGTCGAGTCAAATGTTCCATAATTTCACGAGAACTCCCACGAGCCACTTAGTCGACGAATTCGACTAAGTTTGTGTGATCGTTGGACTTGTTGTAATCAAGAGGTCATCTTGATTTCGTGTAGGTGTTCCGAGGTGTTGACCTCAAACCATATCCTTTAGAGCTTTGTTTGTGAATTGTCGCTGCTTTCAGGTGGGTAAATTTACGTTGTATCTATAATTATCGCACTCGTTATTTCTTATAAATGTTTGTCTCGATAGCTTTTGTATGCGTGAGAACCTTAGTCTAGGTGTCCCATTGATAGTGCCTTTGACGAATGCATAAACAGTGAGAGGTCACCTGCCCGTTGCTAGTCGGGAGGTGGATGCCCTGATCCGTGTGGTTTTCGAGGGGGAAAAACAGCTCCACTGTCTCCTAGAAATGATCCCGTGATCCGTGTGTGGTTCGGGGTGGGAAGGTTTCTAGTTACATCCTTGTCGATGTCTGGTCGAAAAGTTTGTTGTATGTACATAGGAGGTTTGCGATAGGGCCAAGTAGGGAGTTAGACCTGGATTCTATGCATACATTATTTATAGTTTTGAATCTTTATGCGGGATATACTGTGCGATCATGGTGAGCATAATGGTTTGTTCACCACCATTACTTTTCTCCTTGTCTCCTCTTCCTTTCTTTAGGTTGAGCATGGCTGGCGACAGCTGCGGCGGCGTGAAGACGATCGAGTGGTGGTGATTTGTCGATTGTGTTCTCGTTATCTTATGCTTCCGCCTATTTATGATTTTGTTTAACTGTTGCTTTTGACTCTGATTATTTCCTGCTTTGATTTGGATACATTGATATTGTCGGGTTGAACTTTTGGAATTATGTTTAAATTTCTGATTGGTTTTGGAACTTAATAAATAATTTGGTTTAAATTTATATGAGTATGTGTTTATGCATGTATAAGTCAAATCTATGTGTTCATATTTTGTTTAATTGTTCTTGGTAGATAAGTAGCGCCCGTTGAGAATTAAATTTTAATTTGAGATTTTGCGAAAATTTTACTCTGATTTTTATAAATAAATTCGGTAAATTCCTTAAAATAAAATGGGGCGTTACAGTGTGGTATCAGAGCTAGTCTGCGTTTCTGTAGACTATCTTTTGTGTTAGTGTATTTAATGACCATTTGACCACTCACTTTCGTCTCGCCGCGCCAGCTCGAGGTATGAGTTTTGTTGTTTTTCTTATCTTATATCGGGGCTTAGGAATTTATCCTCCTTCTTTTAAATATTCTTGAACTCTAGATGAGTGGCGAACTTAGTTGTATGAACTTGAACTCTAGAGGTATAGAGTTAAGTTCCGACTTGAGAATTTGTTTGTTTGGAAATTTGATATAATGTTATCGAGTTGAATTCTGTTTATAGCAGTGCTCTCGCTATAAAACTTTGTGTCCTCAAGTGAGGACCATTCGCGTGACATCTCGAAAGGAGAAGGCTTAAGTGACGGGAGCATACAACCGAAGAAGTCCCAGGTGTGTGGGATATTCGGAAGTCTGTAACCATGGTTAATAAGACCATTAGACGCGTATTGGAACCCAATCGAATGCGAACTGAGAGTAGAGTCTGGGTGCCTTGCCCACGCTGTTGTTCGACCACGATGAGTGGTGAGAGAACTTAAATCGTAACACCGTCGCGACTCTCGAGAGTGGCTAAGCCTCGAGAAAGTCAATAGTGACCTATTCTTTTGCGAAAATTCTCGAACGAAACAATCTGACCTTGTTCTTAAGGCGGATATCCGGCACCGCGTGAATATTTTATGCCGCAATTTCGAGTGACATTTCTGTCTTGAAGGAGACGTCAAAAATTATCTTCCGTATATTGAGTCGCGAGCAATTTCTTAGCGACAGCGGGACTTTACCGGGGACAGCAGGAATTGATAGTGAAGGCAGTAAATCGTGGACTTGTGCAAGCGAAGCCGTCTTGTTCCTTCTTAAGCTTTTGCCTTCTTGTAGGCTTTTGCAAACCTTATTTTATTCCCTTTTCGCTTGCCAGACCAATGTTGAATTGTGCTGGAGGCTTCTTTTGGGATATGCTATTTCCATACTTTGAAACTTCCGCTTGTCATTTCTTTCCTTACGTAAGAAGAAGATCGGATGGAGATAAGTATCTTATTTTTCTGTAAATTCGGGTCTGCCTCCGCGAGTCTAAGAACCTTGCTTAGAATTGCCTAGAAGGCAAGTTCGAAGTTTGTTTTGAGATCCTTGTCTGTTATCCAATTTTCGCGATTTCGCTAGATTTTCCCTTTCTGGCGTAGAATTTCAGATAGGATTTAGCCTCGACATTTTTATTTTCGGCTGATCCTTATCTTTTGAAACTTGTTTCGTGATACCTCTAACTCGAGCAATAGACACCAGAGGTTTACGATCGACCTAATTCTTTTTTTGTTTTATTTGGGGTATAGCCGTGTTCAAACTCCTACCTTCATTTCGCTGGGTAAGCAATTTTTCAAGCCTTCCAACCTTAAATTTCATTTTCTCTTGAAGTTTAGCCGATTCTTATTTATCTGTTGTTGGGTATTGACTTCATTTTGGGAGAATTGATTGCAAGTAAGATTAAGCATCTTTTTGTTTCTGCTTATCTTTATTCGTTTGCGGAGTATGTGATTCTCGTCGGCATGTCATCGCTAAGTTATCACAAAAACTCGAGTGCACAATTTTCTATCGCCAAGTGAACGTGCAGGAGCAGAAGCCAACACCAATCGGTTCGATAAGAAAGATGGAATGATTTGACGCATATTAAGGAGTGTTTTTCCACCTTCAAAGATTATGCAGAAATCTTTTAAGGAGGATAGTCGAGTCCAGAGCAAGCACATCGTGTGGTGCAGAACCGTCTTTATTCTAAATTTTATCCATCATAGAAACATTCGTTCTTTTACTCCTTTCGGAGTTTCGAGAGAAATCTTTTGATGTCTTGGGACTTTTGAGATCCCTTACAAACAATTTGTTCTTATTTTTGTGTTGCAACCTTGTGGATTAATTAAGACAAGTATTGTTCCACTTGTCTTGTACCAATTCTTCAAATTGTAGTTGTGTCTTTCGAACTGAGTGATCCCCCGCCGTTTCTGTGGACCTAACAGACCGAGTATTCCATTCAGATCAGGGTTAGTATGTCATCGCCCTTATCGATGATATCCAAATTTAATTTCGAGATGTTGCCAAGACATCCAATGGAAACTGACAGGAGTACCACAATGGTGTAGTGATGCCTTTCGGGCTAAGCCACGCACTAATGATTGCCATGAACTGTCTAGTCGCTGTACTTTTCGCCGATAACGTCTCAGCATATTCCTGAGAACACCGGGACGTAGCAAGAACATCTGAAGATGCGAACAGAGACATTTTAATGGGAGGAACTTCACGCTTGAATTCCGAATTGAGAAGATTAGGAAGTGAAAAATGAGTTGTGCTCGTTTAGGACTGCTGACACGATGAGCTACCTGAGGAAGAGCTGACGTGACGGCTGACACTGTCAGTCAGAAGAGTCGAGGCGAGCTAGCTATTGTATCTCTCGGCAGGAGCTGCTGATTTGGGATTATTCTCGACTAGAGAACTGTATTAGAATTCTTATGAGAATTCTCGTCTATCTCAATCGTTTGAATCTCTTTGCGTGTTAGTGTGTGTCGTTTAGGAAAGTTGGTGGACTTGGAACTCGGATTTGCACCTTGCTATTTCTGAGACTCTTGAAACTTTTGAAATAGTGAAACACCTAAATGATATATTGCTTTGTTGAACCCAAATTTTTCGAACAAATTTGTAAAACGATTTCCTTTTGGGTTGTCTAGGATTGTAACTTTCTTGTGGAACCTTGGACCGAAAGCCGGCCCTGACCGGGTGTAGCCATGAGAAGTGGTCGCTGAGCAGGCACGCTCGTGCTGAGAGACGCGAGGCCAACCTAGGGGCTGACCGTTGACTCTCACGAGAGCTGTTGCCATCATCACCGAACGCACGAACTCCCCGAGCCAGCGTGTGCGGCCAAACCTTGACCTTGCAGCTGGTCTCTGAGTAAGTGTGTACGCGCGCATCCCAGCGCCCCGCTTATGCAGCGCCAGCGAGCGTGCCGCTTCTTAGGTGACAGTGCACTAACCTCGAACCATTAATTTCTTTTCTGAACTGTTCGACCAATTCTCATGCTGAGCTATTTTGTTAGCCTTTTAAACCCTTTTCTTTCGACCCTTGAACCGAGAGCTCCAAGTTCCACTAAGATGTGTATGAATCCTTAAACGATGATTTTCAATTAAGGAGTGTGGTCAATGCGTTTCTATGTCTTACTCGAGAATTTCTCGAGTCGGCAAATTGGGAAGATCGTGTTGCTATTGGACGGAGTCTTATGTCGCGCATAAGGGCTACGTTCTGTTGTAGCACAAATTGTTATTTTTACCGAGTACCAAATCAAATGATCCGTTCCCCGGGTCGATCTCTCGAGGAAGGCGGTCGGAATTTAGAATTGGTAATGGTAACACAAAAAAAGGAAAATAAATCCTAAGCACTCTAATCAGGATGAGGGTAGAATAATTACCAACTAAGAAATAATATAAAAGCAATAATCTACCTAAAAATATAAACAAAACAAAGATAAGGAAGCTAGGGAATCGGGGATAATTTATTCAAGTTCTTAGCAAAACCGGGAAATTAATCGTTCAGTTCGAGATTAAGACTCTCGCGTAGACATCTAGCGGTTCGCTGCCAATAACTCTTCGTAACAAGGAATTGAACATAGACGAATAAGCTCGAGCATACAATACAGGTCAATTATCCAATCCCAATAACTTTTCGTAACAAGGGACAGGTTATTGACAAGCACGTATTTCAATCCAAAACCTATAGACTATTCAATTACGAAATCATCTACCTCATGCGAGCCTAGGTCCAAGACTTCTCCCTTTTCAGTTCTAAAAGTCGCTAATTAACTAGAAGGTGATTAATCAACTCATATAGAATTGACAAACCTTAACTCGACAAATTAACATTCAATCATTTCCAATCGCAAGATCGAAGTGTCACTCTTCGATTATATCAATCAATCAAACACAAATTCATCAATTCCGAATTATATCAACTCACATAAGCATGAAAAAATCAAGCCCGACAAAATACGAATCAAAGAAGAACAATCATCCCATATCCTTAGCAATAAGATTTAGCTAAGTAAAATCAATTCAGCACAATCCATCATCTCTCTGAATTCAATCATTTTAATGAATTAAAAATAAAAAGAAGAACTTACAATAAATCGCAATTCCAAGTGTTGAATCTGAATTACAAGCTTAATTCCTAAGCACTATGAAGAAGAAGAAGAAAAATGGGAAAGAAAGGTGAAGAGAAGAAGAAAAATAAAGAAGAAGAAGAAGAAGGGAAGGAAAAAGGAGTTTCGTGTTTTTTACAGGCTAGGGTTCATCCCCAGAAGGGGAGTATATTTTTTTAGTGAAGTCCCGATCAGATATATATAGGAGAGAGGTGACCACAGCGTGAGGGATCCATCGTGAGCGCAGAAGGAGTGGGCGCCGCGGCATGGAGAAAGGTCTTGGCACGGCGCGACGCTAGGAAGCCTAGGAGGCTCTGTCGGGGTCGCGAAGGACGCCACGGCGCGGAGGAAGATAGTGCCACGCCGCGGAGGAAGACAGTGCCGCACCGCGGAGGGTTGCCGTGCCGCGGCGCGTGGGGATGCTGCCTTGGCTGCGTGAATTTACATTTCGGGCTCGTTTGGGCTCGTCTGAACTCGGAATTGGGTTCTGTATTTTCCTATGCGGCGCTAAAGAACTCTTCTATTGAATGAAGCTTGCATGGCCAAATTATTCTTGAAATCATATTCTCCCAAAGCTCTTGACCTACACACTGAACGTGTTCCGCGCGACTTTGCTTTTTGGGCTCGTTCGGACTCGTCCAAATCCGAAATTGAGTTCCGCTTCTTCCTATATGTCGCCAACGAACCTCTCTGCACAACCATGATTGCTCGGTCAATTTTCGGGCTAAATCTATTCCACACGGTCTTCTAACCTGCACACCAAAAATGAAGAAAAACCGAAAAAACACACGAAAAACATATAGAAAACCAAAATAGAGCGAAACACACAATAAATCACAAAAATGAATAAAAACCAACGAAAAGTTAAAAAACAGGGGAAAAAAATGACAAAACAATACCGAAAAACGCAACAAAAATGGGATAAACAACCCCCCCACGCTTAATTGTTCGTCCAGAACAAAAAGAAAAGAAAACAAGATATGAGCATGGATACAGTTACATACAAAAAGAGCCTCAGAAATGTTTAACTCAACTGGGTCGAATTCCAACGACCGTACGACCATATGCGTCAAATATCAACTTGGCCTCGAAATGACAAACTCTCAAACACAGAAATATTAGTAAATGCTTCACTCATTCTTTTAAATTAATATATGATAGGATTCACTCAGATTGGTCAATATTTAAGTTTCAACATATGCTTGCCAATCGTCTAAATTAATCAGAAAAAATCAAAGCTCAAAATTTTTGCGAATCAATAGGGTTTCACGGGTTGTAATGTGGGCTAAAGTAAAGGTAATATATATATATATAGAGTCACGCTCCAGTGAGAATGGTTCTCAGTGAAAGAAAATAGAATGCATCGTATCCATCCGATTGGATAATCCAACGGCTAAAAAAAAAGCAAATATTTATAGTGATTAAGGGTAAATTAGACATTACACAAAATTACACATAACCCCACCCTCGCCCCACCCACCCCCACACACGCACACACACTACACACGCCGAGCCCAATTCTCCCGCCGGTCAGAACTCCGTCGGCCGCCAGTTTCTCGCCGCCCGCCAGTCCCTCCGTCGCCACCACCTTCTCCACCGCCACCGCCTTCAGAGGGGGCTACCTGCCAACTCGCTGGAGAAGACTAGCTTCAAGATCTCACCTCTGCCTCAGACGTCTTTATTCCGTCCACAGAGCCCGATGATCGTTGGAAGAAGACCGACGATTTACAGATTTCTCCGCCTCCACATCCGCCACCTCCGCCTATTCCGCTTCAAACGGCGACCAAAAAACCAATCAATCGGTCGTCTTCATCGTCTCTCACCTGGAAAATCTAATCGTCTTCATCGTCTCTCACAGGCTGCCTGCGGCGGGCCTCGCGGCCTCTGTGACCCATCACAATTGAAATTAATGTCGAGTCATCAACTGCAAAACCAGCATCAACCTAATTCCTCTTATTGAAGTTCGGCGATTGGACCCGCCGACAACCCGCACGGACGGATGCTGTCCAAAAAAATCGCTGTGGACAATTGGATTTGGGGCTAGGTTATTTATGAAATTTTGATAAGTGTGTGGGATCAAATTGCAATTTTATAAATTTTTAATATATTACAATTGAGTTCATGTGTCAATTTTATAATTTACTTAAATTTTAATAATTGCGCATTAATGTTCAATGTAGTGCACAATAAAATTTTATTATTATACTTTTATACATATGTATATATCATATTTTTTCAAACAAAAAATAATATAAAATATTAAATAAAAATATTAAAATGCTAAATATATTTTATACAAATAGCTGTGTTTCGAGTGCACATTAATGTTAGATGAATTGCACATTAGTGACTGTCAAATTGCACTATAGCAGTCGAAACGGACACATAAAGTTTTGGGTTTGAATTTTATATTTTGGTTCGATTATTAGTGTTTACTTTTAAAATTTTGATTATCTCGGTGCATTGTCAACTTTAGTGCACTTTATATAGCAGATATTGTACTTTATAAGACAACACGTTGCACTTTATAACCACTCTTCACAATTAATGTCAACAACTCCCGCCGAAATATTACGCAATATAAATATAAAAAAATGAGCGACATATTACTTTACTACCCATCATATCATATATCCACAAAAAAAAAGAAAAACACAATACTGTTGAAAAACTAGAATTTCAGTATTGCACTTTATATATCGATACATTGCACTTTATACATCAATCCATTGCATCTTATAACACAACACGTTTCACGTACTAAAATTACAGTAATTCTAATGATCGATCGAATAATATTAATTGGTCAATGTCGGATTTACTTATTTTTAAATAAACAAAATTAGTAATCCGCCATAAATGTTACCGATTTATTTTTATTTATTTATTTATATTTTTATTATAAATTATACTATTTTTTTCTCCGTTTTTTTTTTATTTATTGCGAGTGCACATTAGGGTTATACGGATTGCACATAAATGTCTATCAGATTTGCACAAAATCGAACTATATTCCGACGACCAGAAATTCGGTACCAATTTTTATATTTGGGTTCTATTATCATTATTTTTTATATATCAAATATTGCGGTACGATATCATTTTATTTTAATTTAAATAACTGGAATAAAAATCAAACTATATTAAAAAATATTATTTTGTACATTATTTGTACAATAGCGACCATAATTGACAAGATTAAAAATTACGATTCGAATTTTTATATTATTAACAATTATCTATTTTTACTTTTAATTTTAAAATACTAACTACAATATTATAAATGCACATAACACATTAATTCAGTTATTTTAGGAAATAGAATAACTGACTGAATAACTTTATTATTTATGTTCGATTTTAATTTGGATTGTAATAAAAAATACTATCAGTACGATTAATGGCTCACAGTCGTGCACATTTACGATCAAGCTCATGCACATTATTATTATGCAAATAGCACATTAATGTCTAACATACTGCACATTAGCAATCGAAGCTGACCAAAATAAGATTTTCGATTCGAAACATTATATGTTAGTTCAAATATAATTTTCAAATTTTAAAAGTTCGTTTATTTGGGTTCAATGTCGGCTTTAGAATTTAAAAATTACTTATCACTATCTTTATATTTATTAAATTATTAATAATTTAGTATATTAAATTATTAATAATTTAGTATAGATATTTATTTCACTAATTAATTTGTGTTGTAATTAAAGTTCGAAAAAACTACAAAATAGTCCATAACATTAACCTAATTTCCATAAACTAGCCCCTAATTCAGTTCACATACAAAACTACCCAAATTACATTTCACCTTACATCATTCGAAGAACAATTCACCAAATTCTTTCGAATAAAGGCCAAAATCATTCACACAGCAATACACCCAATTCTTTAGCATAAATCAGAGCACCTAAATCAAAATTCACCCAAAGCACCTACTTCATTCACACAGCAATAAATCAAAATTCACCCATAGCACCTAATTCATTCACACAGCAATTCACGATGCAATTCCTCAGCCCTAATAGCATTTCCGGCCGCCGCTTCCTTTCTCCCATTCAAATCGCCGGCGAGCTCATCCCGTTCAGGTCGCCATCCCTCTACTATTCCTCTGCAACTCACCGGAACGTGGCGCTCGACGGGCGGGCTGAGTGGGTTTGAGACAAGGGCAGTTGACAGTGGTGGCGGTGCTGGGATTGCTGCCGCCAGCCCTTCCAAATCGTCCTCAGCGAGAAGGTGAATATCTCCGGTGGCCGTGGGCTCTGGCTCGTGGAGGAGGACACGAATTGGCCGTCGAATCGGAGGCTGTTGACGTAGGAATAGAGATATCTGGAAAGCGCCGCCTGCAAATTGGCTGATTTGGCCGTCGTCGGGTTGGTGGCCGTGGAAGCTGTGTTGGTCGGTGCCGGATTTGGTCGCCTGCGAGCTGGGTCCGGTGGCCGTCAACACCATCGGCTGAAGGCGGTGATGACGCGGGCAGAATGAAGGTAGCGGCCGGCGAAACCGCCGGCGGAAGGAAGGTGTTTCTGTGATGGTGCGCCGTGCGTGTGTGTGTGTGAGAGAGAGAGAGGGAGAGAGAGAGAGAGACAGATGACGGGATAGAGAGATGAGAGATAAATCTGGTTTTATGACATGTGGGTCGCACTGATTTTGGTGTATGGTGAATTACGTAAATATCCCCTGATGTAATTATTTGTCCATTGATATTTATGTATTTATGATTTTACCATTAATAAATTGACCATTGTTCTTAAATTATGACTTAATTATGTTCATTGATCGTACCGATCCAATGGTCTATAATCATTCTTATTTCTTTCACTATCTACCATTCTCATTGGATCCTAACTCTCTTTCTCTCTCTCTCTCTCTCTCTATATATATATATATACATATATATGGATACGAAGCTCAAATAATCAATCAAAGTTTTTCGAACAATAGAC